TCGTGTTGGACGAAGCGGACCGTATGATCGACATGGGCTTCGAGCCCGACATACAGAAGATCCTCGAGTATATGCCCGTCACTAACATCAAGCCCGACACCGATGAGGCCGAAGACGAACAGAAACTAATGGCTAATTATAAGTCGAAACATAAGTACAGACAGACTGTTATGTTTACGGCAACAATGCCTCCGGCGATCGAAAGGTGCGTTTGTTTGTGTGCTTTGAATGCAATTCAATTAATTTGTGATAATTGTTTGACTTCTTAAAGACTGGCGCGAACTTATTTGCGACGCCCGGCAAACGTCTACATCGGTTCAGCGGGCAAACCGACCGAACGAACGGAACAAACCGTTTATATCTGTTCGGAGAACGAGAAGCGCAAGAAACTGATGACCATTTTGGAGGCCGGAGTCGAACCGCCGGTTATTATATTCGTGAACCAGAAGAAAGGCGCCGACGTTTTGGCCAAAAGTCTGGACAAATTGGGTTTCTCTTCCTGTACTCTTCACGGAGGCAAAGGTCAGGAGCAGAGAGAGTACGCTTTGGCCAGTCTTAAGACCGGAGCCAAAGACATTCTGGTGGCCACTGATGTCGCCGGTCGTGGTATTGACATCAAGAATGTCTCACTTGTTATCAATTACGATATGGCGAAGTCTATTGAAGGTAATGGGTTATACATTTTTGAGTTATACTTATTTCTATCCATTTGTTGAACAGATTATACGCATAGAATCGGTCGGACGGGTAGAGCGGGAAAGACAGGTCAAGCCATCTCTTTCCTCACTAAAGATGATTCGCATCTATTCTACGATTTGAAGGCACTGTTGATGTCATCGCCGGTCTCCACGTGTCCGCCAGAGTTGGCCAATCATCCCGAGTCTCAACACAAACCCGGAACTGTTGTGCAGAAGAAACGCAAAGACGAAACTATATTTGTCTGAATTAACGTTCATTTTCTAAACTATGTTGTAATTCATTTGCATTGAAATTGTAAATAATTTTATTTAATAAAATAAATGAATTTTAAATTAATTTTTTGTGTCAAAAATGAAGTGTTATTTAGTAATAAATTTTGTATTGTTTTCTTCTAAAAAGCGTTGCATTCAATAATAGGCAATCATTTGTCATACATCTGTTGAGCGATTTGTTTGAGTTTGAATTTCTGTATCTTTCCGGTCACTGTTCGGGGAAAGTCGTCCACAAATTCAATATTTCTCGGTATTTTGTAATCACTTATCTATAGGTTTAATAAATGATTTAATCACTAAAAACACTTATGGAAACAGTTTGTCCTCAAATTCATACCTTTCCCTTACAATAACTTCTTAACGAGTCTTTATCTAAAGTACTGTTCGGTGTCTTTATAACAAATGCCACCAAATCTTCTCC